CCCCTCTGGTCTTTTGGCTTCTCTTCAAAGTCCTGTAGCAACTCCAGGCACCTCCACATACAAGGACCAGATGAGGTTGGGACCTCTTTTCCTTCTCTCTCTCTCTCCCCCTCCCTCCCTCTAAATACTCCTTATATTTTAAAGCAGTTTTGAGTTCAGAACAAAATGGAGCCCAAGGTACAGATTCCCTGTGTGCTTCCTGCCCTCGCACATAGAGCCTCTTCTATCAGCCTCTTCCGCCAGAGCCTCATGTCTCTTTCCAAAAGGCCCCCACCAAGAAAATAAATGCGCTTTTTTATTTCTCACGCCCTTTTCTAAACTGATCATTATTAAGCACGATCACACGATTCCTATTAGGAATAGTTTAGGGGACAGATAGGTATTAGGGAGTCATCACGATAACCATCACGACTTCTCGCTGATCTCTTTGTTCTGTGGTGCCAATACCTTTATCATACCTTTGCTGTCCTTTTAATAGGATTTGGAGAGGGAGAAGACATAATGTGTGTGACACCCCATTTTACAGGAAGTTCTTCATACCTCCAAGTTCTGCAGCATCATTCCCTAAAGCCAAGCTATGGAAGTGACCTAAGTGTCTGTTGATCAATGAGTATATCAAAATATTTTGGTGTGTATTGCGCAAGGGAATATTATTGTGCCATTAAAAAGAAGGGAATTCTGCCCTTTTCAGCACCATGGATGGACCTTGAGGGGATTATCTAAGTAAAATAACTCAGAGGAGTGTAGGCTTCCTCTTAAATGTGGACCCTAAAAAAGTCAAATTCATAGAAACAGGGTAGAAAGCTGATTGCCAGAGGCAACGGGATGGAGAGGGAGATGCTGGGCAACTTCCAGATATAAAATGAATACATTCTGGATTTTTTTTTTTTTTTTTTTTTTTTTTTTGGTACCAGGGTCAAACTTGGGATCAAACTCAGGTCCTTGAGCTCGTAAAGCAGATAGCGGAACCACTGAGCTAAATCCCAGCCCTATTCATGAGCATCTTTAATTGTTCCCTCATGGCTGCCTTGGTGTCCTGGATCCATTCAAAGTGTTTCCCTTTGGAGAAACTTTGAGAAAGAGCCAGAAGTGACCCACTGACAAATCCAATGAATAAGGTGGATGAGGACACCATAATGTTTTTACAAGCCCACCTTTCCATTGGATGGCCTTGCCAGCAGCGTTCTCTGTATTTCTTATCACACCTCATAAAGATGCTCACAAAAGCTCTGTGTTTTCCGGAACTATTTCTAGAAGTGGCAAGAACCATGGGATAAGTGTGTTCAAAATGAAGGGGAATATTTTGAGAAGGATTAATGGCCATGTGTCTTTTAATGAAAAAAAATTAAAATTTATCATATATTTTGATTGCCCCTTGTTTTTAATAATATGGTATTAGGGCCAGGGATTTGGCTCAATGGTTACGCCACCTGCCTCACAAGTGAAAGGGCCCAAGTTCTATCCCTGGTACCAGAAAATAAATAAATTCACCACAAGGAGGCATGAAAGACCTGCTTTTTAAAAAATAAATAATAATAATAATATTATGTTATATATTTAAAACTTGGTAAGGAAGTGGATCTTAAGTGTTACTATAAAAAAAGGAGGTAACTACAGGAAGTGATGGATATGCTAACTAACTTGATTATAGCAGTTCACAAGATATATATATATATATATATATATAT